TCAATCTATTGCAAAAAGCCTATTAGGAAAACCTCTTGCATGGGAGCATTCAACCTGCAACTTGCAACTCTTTGAACAGTTATCTATAATGGAGAACCCATTAATTTGTTAATGATTTTTATTTGACTTATTTGTTTAGATAAACAACCAGATAGTGACACAGACAGCGTAAGGTATGTATGTATCTATAATAATGCAGTTCTCATGGGTACCATCCATTTGTTGTTTCTAAATTTCAAYGATACCCTTTATATCAGTTTAAATAATAGTGGTCTGATCTATACCTTCCTTACTTATTCTAAAATTAGGAGTATATTATAATGTATATATAAGAACTGAATTAATTTTSTCAATTCCCACTTATTTAATTGTTTTCACTCAGCTGGTGTTTTATTTATTTACTCGTTCACTTGCTCATTTACTTGCTTGCATGTTCTTTCCTTTAGACAGTCATTGCACTTTACTTTGTGCGCTCTATCATCCATCCATCTATTCACCCATTCATTTCTTCATGCCAGCATTTATCACTGCCTTGGTGCATTCACTTCATTCACTCATTCCTAATTTATCCATTCATTTATTTATTCACTCATTCATTCATTCATTTCCCTTTTCTTTTCTAGATGTCCTACTCCAGGATGTGATGGTTCTGGACACAAATCAGGTCTCTTTGCTTCTCATAGAAGGTACTAACTCTAGCCGTACATATAATACGCATAGAAACATATCCAGTCATAAAAAAGCCATTTTAAAAGTTAATTTAATGTAAAACAGCCAAGAAAGAGCATTACAATGTAGATACACCTGTCAATCACAATATTCAAAGTAAAGAAAGCCATTTCAGAGTCACCTTTTGGTATGTTTGCTATTCATGCGATACTACAACACAGTCCTCTCTATGAGGCATATCCAGCGGACGAAGCTTATGCAGTCATAGTTATATCGTTTTTTATTTATTTGCTTAATTTTATTTAAAGTTTTGTTTTTGCAGTTTCTTGCTGTGGTGTTTTTGTGCTCGTGCGTTTCCTCTGATTCAACTTGAACTTAGAAATTGCAATAGAAAAGAAATTAGCCCATTTTCTCTTTACTTTCTGCAAATGAAAAGTTCGGTATCGAACTTGATGTGCGAAATTTTGTGTGCAAATATTCCGCGTATGTGTGCACTTTTGCAGTTGCGCGCATCACAGCACTTCCCAATCACACTTGGAAAAATCGTACAATTTGCTGTCAGTTGTTTTGGTAGACGTCATCCACGTCATTCAAGGCGTTTCCACAACATTAGATAGGCACGTGCCCTTGAAAGCTCTGCATTTTCCGACAATGCCATGGAAACGCTTTGGTTGACGCAGTCCACTAAACCTTATTTTGTCGAGACAGAAAATTGTGCGATTTCGCGTGTTTGATTGGGAAGCGCTGTACAAACCGTATGTTTAATCGCTTTATTTGTTTTAGTTTATATGGATGTCCCAGACGGTTATTTACAGACAAAGATAAAGAAGGTAAAGTATTTAAATTTATCTTATCGAACTCAAAACTTTTTTAGACTTGTAAATAGAGAGAAGTATTAAATTCCTTAAAAACCCTATGAATATCTCACTATACCCTTTTACCTCTTTCCTTATCACTACGCTACGACTCAATGCACCAATTTTACATTCGATGCATACTGATTCGATTTTTGTAAGTTTGGATGACCTTCTTTATGTTAATCTTTCCCCACTTCAATAACCACGAATCGACAATAAAGGTCTCCTTGCATATCTTTGTACCATTATCATATTCTTCAAGTCAATCTTCTAAGAACCTTYCGTTTTCAAAGTGAATCCAAGAAAGTTGTACCTCAGGGGGAAATAAATGCTTTTTCGTCTAATGAAACTAGCTGCGCGTCAAAATCTTCGAGTTATTTTGTCTGATAATGCCCTGCCCTGTGACGTATCTGTGAATTGGTCCGCTTGGTCTAGGGAGGGGACGGGGTGTGTTGRTTAATACACGAAGTGTCTGTTATTCTAGGTATTTTAATATTGCAGACTGGTATCAGCTGAGATTCCACTGTGTCTATGTTTTAAAGTAGGYTTTCCTTGCCTCTTCCTTTTCATAACTGTAATACAAAATGTTTATCTCTGTTGCAGGAAGAGCGAATTCTGATGACAATAATGTAAGGTAAGTATTAGGAATAACATTAAGCCTTGAATATAAATCCAACGTATTTATATATATAGTGCGTCGGGCCTTTGTGATCGATCTAGCAATGCAATTAATTCAGTGTAAAAAGCAAGAGCAAATTGTGACTACGTTATTCATAATACCTTTAAAAGAATCATAAGCAGGAGAGAAGGAACAGAATTGTCGCTGCTCGCAAACTTAATAGTTTCCTTTTTATTCGAAATTTTATCCAAATAGCTAGCAATGTTTAATTTATATTAATGTTGTTTGTAGATGCCCTACTCCAGGATGTGATGGTACAGGCCACAGAACAGGCTTGTACACTTCACACAGAAGGTAACAAAGTATATTTAGGTTGCAACTTTAAGACTTTATTTATTTTCTCATAGTGAGATATATCGCCTTTAAAAATGTATGGTGCGTCTGGATTTCCCCCGCCAAGTTGTAGAACATGCGCACTAGGATCTTTGCTTTTGGTCAACCCCAATCCCAAAAAAMCCCCGCGAAATCCAGTGTTCTTGTTTTGGCTGGGTTTTCATTGCCGTATTAAACAATAGAATCAGAAAGCGTTGGCAGTTTGTATCGCCAGAGTTCTTCATTGCTTTGCGTTAGCCTGCRTAACGGCCCAAAGGGAAGGGGATTGGGGACTGGGGAAGGAGGGGAGGGGGAACTGGGGATAGGAAGGGAAGAGAGGGAGGGCCTGCAATGAACCCCCTCGATTTTTCCTAACACCCCCTAATTAATATGCAAACTCTCAACCAATCCAATGAAAGGATAAAGTCATGTTTATTTCTGTTTCTATGAGTCTTGATCCTATCAGCCAATCAAAATTAACGTTCGGATTCGGAACGTTCGTAGGAAAAATCGAGGGGGTTCATTGCAGGCCCTCCCTCTCTACCCTTCCTCTCCCCAGTCCCCCTCCCCTCCTTCCCCAGTCCCCCTCCCCTCCTTCCCCAGTCCCCAATCCCCTTCMCTTCCATTTGGGCCGCTACGCAGGCTACTTTGCGTGGACCAAAAGAAGGATTGCCTCTCCTCTGGTRACGAGAACGCTGAGTAGTTCACTAGTAACCTCACTGGGTCAATATTTTTCTCGACTTCTCAAGCACAATCTACATTTACACAACTGCCTCTACAAGTTTTATATTTTGCTTTGTTTCAGTTTGTCTGGCTGTCCACTCGCAGCAGCACAGAAACAACTGACAAGACAATGTAGTAGTCCACCAGGTAATTTCAACCAAAAAAGGGATAAAGGTGCTAGTAGGTCACCTCTACTTTAACAGATAGACCTGTAACCGACCCAAGCTCCGTGAGCTCCGACCCATGCAACAGCGAGAAACCCTGGATCAAATAACCTCGTTTTTAGTGTGGTGCGTCTATGGGAAAAGGATTTCGAGAAAACCGAAACAAAAGCTGCCTGTGATGTGTTGAACCTAATTTAGATTTATGTTTTGCAGGCCGTCCACCAAAGTTTGGTAATTTTGGAGTGAAGACATCTCCGCATGAGAGCCCAACGTCACCTGATTCTGGCATGTCATCAGGCTCAAGCTCCTCATCAGATCAAGATAACCCAGCCAAGAAAGACTTATTACCTCGTCTTGAACCCAAAGACACACCCACCCATTTTCCATTTCCAAAGACCACTACGGTTACATCTCCTACCAAGCTGAAGATTCCTGTGGTTACTCCCATTCCTATCCCTCCCTCCACCTCCCCCTCGTCGTTACCCAGTGTTATTACAGCAACTGCTGCTGTAGCTGTGGCTAATGCCGTCATCAGTGGCTCCTCGACGTCTCCAGAACCGCAGCCATCTCCCTCCGACTATCCTAATACAAGTCCGGCAACTCCTCCGCTCAGGTCGCCGGTTCTCCAAAGGTTTTTACCAGTGGCACCATCACTACCTTCACCGGGACAGAAGACCAGCATGTCAGGCGGTAGCATGACGTCATCACCACCGCCAATGACGTCAAACTTGGAAACATCCGAAGAAACACTTTCCACGTCTACGGAAATGGAAACAAAGAGCGGGAATCCTGTGGTTTTATTGACATCATCACCGAAGCCAAGCTCGACTACCCCTCCCCGGCCTGTTGTCTGTGGTGTCTCCAGTGGTATAGATCGAGAACAAGTAAAACAGATAAAGATGGAACCACAGTACGATGATGAAGGTGACATTGAAAGCGACTCATCAGATGATGATGACGATGACGACGACGACGATGATGATGATGATGATATTGATGAAGAGGAAGAAGAGTTTGAAATAATGAATGAAAATGAGAGACAAGAAATGGAAATCATGGATGAGCCAGGTAGATAGATATAAATCCTTTTATTCTATGTTTTYGTATTAATATATTATCATCTACATCACAATCGTGAACGACACCTCATTGTTACATAGTACGTACCAAGCCCGAAATGCACTATGGACGATGTGAATGCAATCAGCAAAAGGTCACAACAATGTGGAGTTTCATCAAACTTTGTCACGACGTTTTTTTCGGTATATTTTCTCCTGTGCTGCCATAATATACATATGAATATAATATATTTCAAGCTTAGTAGAGTGCATACACTATATCCGTCAAAACGTTAGCTAACAAAACTGTACAAATTAGTGCAAAGTTTTGTAGGTCTACGGCCTACTGAGGTATACTGAACCTACTAATTTGTGCAATTTCACGAATATATGGTATGTACTCTAAACGACACGCAACAAAACTTCACAAACCTTTTTTGAAATAGCTATATATATCGTGCTTGTACATAAGGGCCCAGTTGTTCAAAGCCCGATTAGTGCTAATCCTGGGTTAACTTTTAATAAGACCTATAGAGTTAATCCTGGATTAGCGCTAATCCAGCTTTGAACAACTGGGCCAAAACTAAACTAAACATATGAAATGGTTTTTTTTCCCACGTTTTAGATTCGCCGACTTTCAAATTATCTTCAGGGTATGTAAAAACTTATTCATTTTCTTAACCAAGTTACCCCTGGTCCTTGGGATTAGCAAACATCAAACTTGCTATAAAATACTTACGAGATAATTGGACTTTTATCGAAGGTGTCCAACTCCTGATTGTGATGGAACTGGTCACGTAAATGGCAGATTTTCCAGTCACAGAAGGTAACATCATACTGACAACATACAACATACTGGATCTCCTAGAGATCGATGTAAATGGAAGAAATGTCAGACCATTTGTCATTCCGTTGAGTATTATTTCAGTCTTTTTTGGCTTGAGAAAAAAGCTACAGCGCTACTGTAATGTTAATGTTTAATTTACTGTACGCAAAAAACAAATATTTGAACCCAACTGGCTTGTCCCTGCGTGATCGAGATCGCTGTAAGCTTCCCGTGACTCACACAGAATCTGCCCTTTGATTGGGTAAATGTTGTATCATGTTGACGGCGTTATTGTCATGTATGCTCCCAAGGATGGCATTAGCTGCTGTCGGGATTAAAACATAAAGTTCAGTTATCGGCCTTTTGCTCCGTTGTAAAAGAGAATATTATTACACCCAAACCATCAAAGTCATGGCACAGCTAACTCACAGATCGAACCCTAAAACACTGACCCTCTTGCATGAT